TACATATAAAGGAAAGCACGGGCAATTAAGGGGTGAACTCAGTTGCTCCCTAGCTATAAGAGTTAACTTTTATTTCTTAATTCCTCAGTCAATAATGCTCGAATTATTCCATAAATTCACATGAAGGTAGAGCCGGATGGATAGTTTAAAATGCCCTTCGCCGATTGCCTCTATCTTGAGCCGTTTAGTAGGTATTCACATTTAAAAAGAAGTCAAATACCTTGTCGCGTTTCTGCTATCCTGATACCAAAATTTTGTAGACAAAATTGGATCATTTCGAATTCGGAACTTTGTATTAGGACAATAGAAACGCGAGGAGATATCGAAAATTGTTATTTTTGCCACAACTTTTTTAATATTACTCTTAGAAAAAAACTGAGTGTATTTTTAAGATCTACATGTGACACTCTATCCGTATGCAAATTTAAACAGTATTTTATTTTTTCAAAAAAATCGAAAGGGTATATATAGCCTTCCAAATTTTTTGACAAAATTTTTTTTTGTCTCTGATCTTGATGAAAATTGGGGTACATATAAAGGAAAGCACGGGCAATTAAGGGGTGAACTCAGTTGCTCCCTAGCTATAAGGGTTAACTTTTATTTCTTAATTCCTCAGTCAATAATGGTCGAATTATTCCACAAATTCACATGAAGGTAGAGCCGGATGGATAGTTTAAAATGCCCTTCGCCGATTGCCTCTATCTTGAGCCGTTTAGTAGGTATTCACATTTAAAAAGAAGTCAAATACCTTGTCGCGTTTCTGCTATCCTGATACCAAAATTTTGTAGACAAAATTGGATCATTTCGAATTCGGAACTTTGTATCAGGACAATAGAAACGCGAGGAGATATCGAAAATTGTTATTTTTGCCACAACTTTTTTAATATTACTCTTAGAAAAAAAACTGAGTGTATTTTTAAGATCTACATGTGACCCTCTATCCGTATGCAAATTTAAACAGTATTTTATTTTTTCAAAAAAATCGAAAGGGTATAGCCTTCCAAATTTTTTGACAACATTTTTTTTTGTCTCTGATCTTGATGAAAATTGGGGTACATATAAAGGAAAGCACGGGCAATTAAGGGGTGAACTCAGTTGCTCCCTAGCTATAAGGGTTAACTTTTATTTCTTAATTCCTCAGTCAATAATGGTCGAATTATTCCACAAATTCACATGAAGGTAGAGCCGGATGGATAGTTTAAAATGCCCTTCGCCGATTGCCTCTATCTTGAGCCGTTTAGTAGGTATTCACATTTAAAAAGAAGTCAAATACCTTGTCGCGTTTCTGCTATCCTGATACCAAAATTTTGTAGACAAAATTGGATTATTTCGAATTCGGAACTTTGTATTAGGACAATAGAAACGCGAGGAGATATCGAAAATTGTTATTTTTGCCACAACTTTTTTAATATTACTCTTAGAAAAAAACTGAGTGTATTTTTAAGATCTACATGTGACCCTCTATCCGTATGCAAATTTAAACAGTATTTTATTTTTTCAAAAAAATCGAAAGGGTATAGCCTTCCAAATTTTTTTTTGTCTCTGATCTTGATGAAAATTGGGGTACATATAAAGGAAAGCACGGGCAATTAAGGGGTGAACTCAGTTGCGCCCTAGCTATAAGAGTTAACTTTTATTTCTTAATTCCTCAGTCAATAATGCTCGAATTATTCCATAAATTCACATGAAGGTAGAGCCGGATGGATAGTTTAAAATGCCCTTCGCCGATTGCCTCTATCTTGAGCCGTTTAGTAGGTATTCACATTTAAAAAGAAGTCAAATACCTTGTCGCGTTTCTGCTATCCTGATACCAAAATTTTGTAGACAAAATTGGATCATTTCGAATTCGGAACTTTGTATTAGGACAATAGAAACGCGAGGAGATATCGAAAATTGTTATTTTTGCCACAACTTTTTTAATATTACTCTTAGAAAAAAACTGAGTGTATTTTTAAGATCTACATGTGACACTCTATCCGTATGCAAATTTAAACAGTATTTTATTTTTTCAAAAAAATCGAAAGGGTATATATAGCCTTCCAAATTTTTTGACAAAATTTTTTTTTGTCTCTGATCTTGATGAAAATTGGGGTACATATAAAGGAAAGCACGGGCAATTAAGGGGTGAACTCAGTTGCTCCCTAGCTATAAGGGTTAACTTTTATTTCTTAATTCCTCAGTCAATAATGGTCGAATTATTCCACAAATTCACATGAAGGTAGAGCCGGATGGATAGTTTAAAATGCCCTTCGCCGATTGCCTCTATCTTGAGCCGTTTAGTAGGTATTCACATTTAAAAAGAAGTCAAATACCTTGTCGCGTTTCTGCTATCCTGATACCAAAATTTTGTAGACAAAATTGGATCATTTCGAATTCGGAACTTTGTATCAGGACAATAGAAACGCGAGGAGATATCGAAAATTGTTATTTTTGCCACAACTTTTTTAATATTACTCTTAGAAAAAAAACTGAGTGTATTTTTAAGATCTACATGTGACCCTCTATCCGTATGCAAATTTAAACAGTATTTTATTTTTTCAAAAAAATCGAAAGGGTATAGCCTTCCAAATTTTTTGACAACATTTTTTTTTGTCTCTGATCTTGATGAAAATTGGGGTACATATAAAGGAAAGCACGGGCAATTAAGGGGTGAACTCAGTTGCTCCCTAGCTATAAGGGTTAACTTTTATTTCTTAATTCCTCAGTCAATAATGGTCGAATTATTCCACAAATTCACATGAAGGTAGAGCCGGATGGATAGTTTAAAATGCCCTTCGCCGATTGCCTCTATCTTGAGCCGTTTAGTAGGTATTCACATTTAAAAAGAAGTCAAATACCTTGTCGCGTTTCTGCTATCCTGATACCAAAATTTTGTAGACAAAATTGGATCATTTCGAATTCGGAACTTTGTATCAGGACAATAGAAACGCGAGGAGATATCGAAAATTGTTATTTTTGCCACAACTTTTTTAATATTACTCTTAGAAAAAAACTGAGTGTATTTTTAAGATCTACATGTGACCCTCTATCCGTATGCAAATTTAAACAGTATTTTATTTTTTCAAAAAAATCGAAAGGGTATAGCCTTCCAAATTTTTTTTTGTCTCTGATCTTGATGAAAATTGGGGTACATATAAAGGAAAGCACGGGCAATTAAGGGGTGAACTCAGTTGCGCCCTAGCTATAAGAGTTAACTTTTATTTCTTAATTCCTCAGTCAATAATGCTCGAATTATTCCATAAATTCACATGAAGGTAGAGCCGGATGGATAGTTTAAAATGCCCTTCGCCGATTGCCTCTATCTTGAGCCGTTTAGTAGGTATTCACATTTAAAAAGAAGTCAAATACCTTGTCGCGTTTCTGCTATCCTGATACCAAAATTTTGTAGACAAAATTGGATCATTTCGAATTCGGAACTTTGTATCAGGACAATAGAAACGCGAGGAGATATCGAAAATTGTTATTTTTGCCACAACTTTTTTAATATTACTCTTAGAAAAAAACTGAGTGTATTTTTAAGATCTACATGTGACCCTCTATCCGTATGCAAATTTAAACAGTATTTTATTTTTTCAAAAAAATCGAAAGGGTATAGCCTTCCAAATTTTTTTTTGTCTCTGATCTTGATGAAAATTGGGGTACATATAAAGGAAAGCACGGGCAATTAAGGGGTGAACTCAGTTGCGCCCTAGCTATAAGAGTTAACTTTTATTTCTTAATTCCTCAGTCAATAATGCTCGAATTATTCCATAAATTCACATGAAGGTAGAGCCGGATGGATAGTTTAAAATGCCCTTCGCCGATTGCCTCTATCTTGAGCCGTTTAGTAGGTATTCACATTTAAAAAGAAGTCAAATACCTTGTCGCGTTTCTGCTATCCTGATACCAAAATTTTGTAGACAAAATTGGATCATTTCGAATTCGGAACTTTGTATTAGGACAATAGAAACGCGAGGAGATATCGAAAATTGTTATTTTTGCCACAACTTTTTTAATATTACTCTTAGAAAAAAACTGAGTGTATTTTTAAGATCTACATGTGACCCTCTATCCGTATGCAAATTTAAACAGTATTTTATTTTTTCAAAAAAATCGAAAGGGTATAGCCTTCCAAATTTTTTTTTGTCTCTGATCTTGATGAAAATTGGGGTACATATAAAGGAAAGCACGGGCAATTAAGGGGTGAACTCAGTTGCTCCCTAGCTATAAGGGTTAACTTTTATTTCTTAATTCCTCAGTCAATAATGGTCGAATTATTCCACAAATTCACATGAAGGTAGAGCCGGATGGATAGTTTAAAATGCCCTTCGCCGATTGCCTCTATCTTGAGCCGTTTAGTAGGTATTCACATTTAAAAAGAAGTCAAATACCTTGTCGCGTTTCTGCTATCCTGATACCAAAATTTTGTAGACAAAATTGGATCATTTCGAATTCGGAACTTTGTATCAGGACAATAGAAACGCGAGGAGATATCGAAAATTGTTATTTTTGCCACAACTTTTTTAATATTACTCTTAGAAAAAAACTGAGTGTATTTTTAAGATCTACATGTGACCCTCTATCCGTACGCAAATTTAAACAGTATTTTATTTTTTCAAAAAATCGAAAGGGTCATCTCCCATCTCTTATTTCTCATCTTTCATCTCTCATTCTCAACTCTCATCTCATCTTTCTCTCTCTGTCTAGTTTTGTTTACGTATTAAAGTACATGACGTATTGTAGTTCCTAGAAAAAATATATATAATAGAAGGCGAAAAATACAAGATTATCGACAAAGAAATCTTTAATTTTCTGTTTTACATATTACAATAGTATATTACATAATAAAAACAAATACATTTATATGCAACTCTCTTGTATTCGATTCGAGGTTGTAACAACTTCGGGACCCCTGTATTTGTGTGTAATGGTATGGGAGCCCTGTAACGCGGGAAGAGTGGGAAGAGCGACATTTCTAGGCCTTTGCAGACTTCGGTAAATCTGGAACAAAACAGAACGTGTTATAATCTCATGCCATTTACGTTATTAATAATAATAATAATAATAAAAATATACTTGATTGTCAGAATCCAAGGAAAAAGTATAATAAGTTAATTTTTTTTAAATTTAATGAAATTTTTAAAGTTTATGGTTTTTCTCTGACAAGTTACAGTCAATCTAGTAATTCCAGAGGTGTGCTGGATTATATTTTGTATCTGTACATTAAAAAGAAAATAAAATTTGATCATAGTTTATTGAATAAGATATAAACTGAATCACCCTGTATGTAGATTTTCGAATCTTACTTTCTTTTCAAGAAAAAAAAAATAAAACTAACTATTTGTACTTTGAATAACCCTGTACATTAAAAAGAAAGTAAAATTGGATTATAATTTATTGGATTTATAGCTAGTGAAATTCTGACGATATAAACTGGATCACCCTGTATGTAAATTTTCCAATCTTAACTAACAATTTGTACTTTGAATAACCCTGTACATCAAAAAGAAAGTAAAGGCCTTTATTTTTCGATAAATTATCAGCTGGTGAAATCCTGACGATATAAACTTGATTTTCGAATATTACTTTCAATTTACTAACAATTTATACTTTGAATAACCCTATACGTCAAAAAGAAATTAAAATTAGATCATAATTTATTAAATAAAGTGCCTTTATTTTTCGATAAACTATCAGCTAGTGAAATCCTGACGATACGAACTGGATCACCCTGTATGTAAATTTTCGAATCTTACTTTCTCTTCGAGGAAAAAAATTAAACCAACAATTTGTACTTTGAATAACCCTGTACATAATAAGAAAGTAAAATTGGCCAAAGTGCCTTTATTTTTCGATAAACTATCAGCTAGTGAAATCCTGACGATATAAACTAGATCACCCTGTATGTAGATTTTCGAATCTTACTTTATTTTCGAGGAAAAAAATTAGAACCAACAATTTGTTCTTTGAATAACCCTGTACATCAAAAAGAAAGTAAAATTGGACCATAATTTATTGGCTAAAGACCTTTATTTTTCGATAAACTGGATCGCTCTGTATGTAGATTTTAATAGGTTTACAAAAACGGATGTTTATATTACCTTTTAAGATTTTAAAATTATTTTTCAAACAGTATTTTTTTACATTGTTCCTAAATAAAGATAGGGATCTAATTGATTTTAAGGAATTTGGCAGATGATTGGGTACACAAAAAAAAGATAACAATGTTAAAAATTAAGGGGTTAACAAAGTTATGATATCCATCAATCTTATACAATATTGGACACTAAAGTGAAGTTGGAAAAGGATATTCCAAGAAGGTGCTTTCGCATTCCTTCAAATTCCAAAGATCCTTCCGACTAGACCGGTCTATACAGGGTCCTGTAAGAGTGGCGCGGTTTTTCATAATCCATAATCATTATAAATTTAGAACAATATGAGTTATTATGTAAAAATATATTCAATTATTCAACTATTCAAAAAAAATATGATTAATCACTAGATTTTTTTTTTCAAATGAAAATTTTGACAGTTTTTGAAGTATTAGGTAAGTACTTTTCGAGACAAAAATAAATTTTACAAAATTATGGATTTTTCATGATTTTGTTTATCACCGTATACCTCTGAGAAATATGAAGCAAGTATGAATTAATAACTACTTTTGTAAAATGTGTTATGTCAAATAGTAACCATTTTATGTAATGCAGGTTGGTCACAAATTATTTTTAAATATTTATAATTTCTAGAAAATTAAAATTTTAATATTTTCAATAGATAAAGAGTTTCATCACCAAATTTTTTTACAAATGGATCTACATACTTAAAATCAACCGTTTAAGAAAATAAAAATAAATACAAGAAATTCTGAAAATAACTACTCTTTGGCTATTACTGCAACAGGCATTAAATTATGAATAAAAGAGATAGAAAATTATTTTCAACACTTTAACTTTGATTTTGCTTGCTAAAGAAAACGTCATTCTTGACCCTGTTTCGTCCTTAATAGGACTCGTCAGAAAATATTACAAAATGAAATAAAAATAAATCATTATTTGTGAGTGTGAGATTAGTGGGAAGAGGACGTACCATAAGGAAACATTAACTTTTTAATTTGCCGACGTTTCGACGTTTATTTTTCGTCTTATTTAAGGCTGAAAATACATAATAGGTTTTAATAAAAAAATGTAAAAACTATGACATTTACATAGGTGTCAATATTATAAATGGTATATAGGTATTGACACCTATGTAAATCTCATAGTTTTTACATTTTTTTATTAAAACCTATTATGTATTTTCAGCCTTGAAAAAAAAAACGAAAAATAAATGTCGAAACATCGGCAAATTAAGAAGTTAATGTTTCCTTTTGACACGTCCTCTTCCCACTAACCTCACAGTCACAAATACATTTAAAGGACGAAATCTTTTATTGAATAATAAATCATAATTTCTCAACATCCATGGTACCCCGAGTCAATAGACTTTTCGTGACTTTGACACTAAGTGAAATCTTTAATTGAACACCCAATTATTGACTAAAATTAATATACTACTAAGAGATATTTCTAACATTGACTTTTAGCATAAATATAAACACAAAATACGGGACAAATTAACTAACAAGAAAGTGAGGGAGAGGAAAAAATAATTGCGTATTTTAGTAAGACCTTAGGGAAATCTAAAAAGAATTATTGCGTTACTAGAAAATAACTTTTAGGTATTTTTAAGGCTCTTGAACTTACGATTTTAACATGAGTTTTATCAGTGGTTGATAAATTTGAAAAAACCTGAATGACAAGTTGCTAGATGGATAGAAAGACTGCAACAATATAACTTCGAGATAGTGCATCAAAGAAACCGTTTCCATAGCAACGCAGACATTCTTTCCAGGCGACCCTGTTTAGAACGACAATTCTGGTACTGTAAAAGGCTTGAAGAACGAGAAGAGCCGATTAAAGAAGTTAGTCGCAGGGTAGGAATCTTTTACTAGTAACATTTCTATAAAGTTTTTAATGTTCTCACGATCGACCACTATCAGTTAAATATTAGCAAGAAATTATTTATTATACCCTATAAAAAGTTAGTCTACTAGTCCCAAAATTTGGACCATATGTATAGAATTTTTGAATTTTCGTAAGAGTAACCAGTCAAGTGTTATCACAGTCTTACTTCGCCGACCCAATTTCTCAACATCCAAGATCACCTGAGTCAATAGACTCTTCACGACTGCAGCAATAAATGAAATATTTAATTCATCACCCACTTATTGGCTAAAATTAATAAACGCAAAATACGTTAATACGGGATAAATAAATTTTAATGATAAATCCATATAAGTACCTTCCTTATACCTACAAATTTTTATTTATGGTGTAACTATTATAGAACGCCAGCTATGAAAGACCACGTCACTGTTGCAGGACTCTGTATGACGATAAAATAGTAATTTTTCTGTAAATAAATAATATAACTGTTAAGTACTTACTGTCTGATTGGAGGGGATAGGGGGAGTTTCTTTGGCAACGTATCGGAAGTCATATTCCTCTCCTTCGTCGTCTAGATCATCGTCGTCTCTAGGTTCAGGAGGTTCGTAAACTTTCATGAAGCTATATGTAGGGCGCCTCTCTGGAAATAAAAACGAAATTTAATTGCATACATGTAAACAAAATTAAATAGTAAAACTAAAGTTTCTAGAATGGATAAAAATTTAATTTAGAGATATATCAGATGGCTACAGTAATATCATCTAACTTTAAACCCATCATATTTACTACAAAATCACCTCAACCTCAAATCTGCTCAAATGCTGTTATTTGTACCGCTAGTCATTAAGAATTAAGCGAAGCTTAAAGTGACATTGTTATTGAACCTTTCTTCAAATCGACATAAACAACATGACTATAATGTAAAAAAATGGAGACTTCATTTAAATAAAAAACTAACTTCTAAGCCTTACATAGAAACCAGAAACAACCTGAAAGTTAACCAAATGTATTGAGATTTATTGGGTCAAACTTTCAAAAAATTGCTAGAAATCAAACTATATATAGGACCAATCTGGATCAAACCTATGGGATTGTAATGTGCAGTGGCAGCAAACTGTCAAACACCAAGATACTACAGACATTCCAATCTAAAACGTTGGAGACGATTAGTTTCTCTTCCTCGAACAAGTGGAAACTCTGAACCGTTCACGTTTGTAGCCATTTAAAATTTGTATTTTTGTGATAATACACCTATGTAGTATAATCAACTTTATCTCACTAAATAGTGAATCTCTTTTTTGACTCCTGCAAGTGAAGGAATTAATACCACTTCATAAACAGATGCAAAATATTGTTCTAAGCAACATATTTATTTAAATGAGAGCTTCACATAACTATTGATGGAATCCCTACGATTTTCTGTTCCAATTGAGAGTAATGGGTTCTTAAGAATTATTCAAGTTGTCGAAGCCGAGTCCTGGAAAGTTGCTAAACTTTCTTTTGGCAGATATCTAACAACCAAACCAAAGAAATTACTTTGCTAATTGCAGATTAAAAAAGACTAAACCCGAATTGTAGCGGTTTATAGTAGAAGATTGACCAGGGTTGACATTATGTTGAATAATATTCCTTCATATATACCACCACGAAATATCAGTAGTTGGTTTTAAAGTTTTCTACTAGATTATTCTATAATAGTAGTTACTAATCTACAATCATTCACGTTGCATGTAACTTCAGTTTGAAGAAAGTTCTTTAGTTTTCTAAAAATGATTGATCCTAGAAGTCATATTTTTTGTAGTATATTTGCAATTTTCCTGGGAAATCTTCCAAATAAGTTACAAATGAGTAAATGTTTTTCTAAAAGAGGTTAAATACGTAAGAAGTGATGGCGAACCTCTAAGAAGCCTAACTAGCTATGCTATTGACACGGTCAGGCAGCCAACTGTAGACTAAGTACAGCTGTTTGAGCACTTAATAATGGGCGATAGTAGATATCACAATATTATAACTGTTATTCTAAGAACCTTATCATAACTACTATCCTAGGACAGAGATTCTTATGTGAGAACTCAACACGTAACGAATCAAATAGAGAGAGAGAGACATTACATAAGAATCGTATTCCGTAGAATGAAGATAGTCGTCTCAATACGTGCCATATTGAAAGATGAGAATCCCAATGCTGATTGGCTTGATTTCGTAACCTCACGGTGGCTTTCAAGGTATTTAGAATTATCTTTACCAACAATCCAGTAAAAAACATTGCCAATATCTAATAAAAAACCTCACGGAAACGATACTCACCATACTGATTCCTAATAATATCAGGATCAGCTCCTTCCAAGGCTCCTCGTTGCTGGATCGCCTCCACAACGAGCGGCTGGTCCGTATGGGGCGTGAGTGGGGTTCGGACGCCCGTGATTGAGCCATCGACTATGAGATCATCAGCGGCTATTACTGCTTCCATTGGTATGTGCTTTGAGCCGTTATCTGTGGGACGCTGACACGGCCGTCCATTGTGTAAATGTGTCAAATGTCGACGACAAAGTGCGGCTAGCACTAGACAGACACCGGTGGCTAAAAAGGCAGCGGTACCCAAAAGTCCGATGAGTAGGGGGCTGACTGGCATAGAAGCAGTTGAACCTGTAAACAAAAGTCATAATTAATGTTCAATAGATATTGTTACGCACCACTCCGCAACCATTTATCATATGATGATGAGTCATTCATAGTACAACATGGCTACCACTTCCGTCAGATCGAATAGATTAACGCGGACATGGCATGCTCCTTCCTGACTATATATGTTCTAAACATAAACCTGATTAGACAATGTTAACATGTTGTCAGATCTCTTATGTATTTTTTATATATCTATTTACAAATTTATGTTAGATATTTAGACACTAACGATTTATATGTATATGGTCACAAAAAATTATTAAATCTCCTTTTGCCACAATTAAATTAATTTTAGTCAGTCACCGATGCGATGAAGCGTTCAATTTTATTTTTAATATATCACAAAAACAACAGATTGCTCTCTGATCTTCAACAAAACAATGGAGCTTACTCGCAATACGTTCCCTTTGTTTCTGAACTTTTATTCTTTTCGAGTCCAACGGAGGCGAGCAATTGTCATCTCATTTTTTTTTGGGAACTAATGTTACGTAAGTGGTCGACAAATTCCGCACATAATCATCAGCAAATTCCCAATAAAAAACATCCGTTTCGTGACCGGGGCTTTTCAAGAGAGAACAATACTTTTCTTTTGTACTCTCCGATGCGAATTAAAAAAAACCTGTGCAACGCCATATTTCACTAGAAGTGGCGTGAAGCCCAAATATTCCTCGTCGAATGACTGCGCTCACAAAGGCCTTATGTCGCATAATACATTGGCGTACAGCTGAAAATTTTCTTCGGATATTTCTAGTATAGCAAACTAAAAAAGTTTAGGCAATAAATAAATTTATAACAGCGCCTAAAAGCCAACGATATTTATAGTTTAATAGACTGCTCATCCACATATAATAATAATATAATGTTTATTTACATCAATAAATTTACAATAAAAAAAAAAACAGTTTCAAAATATAGTGTGTCAATAAACATGTGACGACCACATAAGCGAACTTGTATGTGGCATGGATATTTTTTTTATAGAATATTTACGCCTCCTTAGATATCTTACACTCCACAAGGAAACCCTTACTATTCTTATAAACAAAATATTTCCATATTCAGCTAAAAAAATTATTACAAAACCACCCCTTGAATATTCAACATTAAACCCTGAAACTAATTCAGATTCACCTTCAGCAAAATCAAAGGGTACGTGAAAGGTAAGACTCTATTTTTGGCTGGCTGATTAGTTGTTTATTTTAATTGCATGCATTATTAAATAATAAAATACATTTATTTCTTATATACTAAAAAGGAAAAAAAAATGTTACGGGTTGAACTGGAAGTTGTGGATACAAACAATAGCACATTAACAAAAAAAAAAAATATATATATACAAGGTGTTATTGAAATACACGTACATATTAAAATGGGGAATAGTATGTAATGACCAAAAACGATTGGCACCAATTTTAATTTCAAATTCTAAAATTTAAATATTGGGGAAGAGTCCCCTTTTCCGACCTACTAGTTTCCATATTTAAAGAAGTAAAATAAATCGAAATTGAACTTACCCATAGAAATTGCACTGTTGCCGTAGCAAAACCAATTAATTCAAAATAAAGTTTATTACAGTAATTGTTCAAAATGCCGTCCATTATTATTTACACACACTTGCAATCGTCTTTCCAAAGAACTTTGAACATTAGAAATTAGTCTTGGATTTTGTCGTAGTTCCTCGGCTACCGCATTAACTTTATTGGTTAATTGTTCAACACTATTAATAGGTTCATTATAAACCAGTTGTTTCGTGTGACCCCACAAAAAGAAATCGCATGGATTTAAGTCCGGAGATCTCGGAGGCCACTTAGTAGGTCCATTTCTGCCTATCCACTTTTGAGGAAATCTAATGTTCAAAAACTGCCGTACGTTTAAATCAAAGTGAGGAGGAGCGCCATCTAGTAGGTACCACATCCGTTGCCTTAATTGTAACGGTATCTCTTCTAGGAGTACTGGCAAAATATCTTCTAAAAAGTGGAGATATCCTGGCCCATTTAATCTGTTCGGGAGAACATAAGGCCCGATTAAATACTGATCTATTATGCCAGCCCAAACATTTATTGAAAATTTTCTTTGATGCCCAGTTTCCCTAATGGCATGAGGATTTTCATCACTCCAAAAATGCGTATTGTGCATATTGAACACGCCATCACGAGTGAATGAAGCCTCGTCAGTATACAATAACATTTTTAGAAAATCAGGAATATCAACACATTTTTGAATCATCCATTCACAAAACTCCACTCTCTTTTCTTCATCACCTGGATATAAGGCCTGGACTTTTTGGATGTGATAAGGATGTAAACCTTGTTCTTTAAGTGTCCGCCACACAACAAATGAGGACACTCCAATTTCAAGACCTAGTCTTCTACAACTTAATTGAGGCCGGTTTTCAACAGCTTCCAATATTTCTTCTTCGGCCGCCAATGTTCTTTGTGTTCTTGTTCTCCCTCGATCTGCATTGACACTCTCAAATTTTCCATGGTCTCTTAGATGCTGAACAGTTGAAATAAACGTACGACAGTCCGGAATTCTCCGATTTGGAAACCGTTCGCGATACAGGATTTGTGCTTGCCGAGAATTTTCTCCAGCTGCCCCATAAACCAGCACTATATCCGTTAGTTCAATATTCGTAAATAGTGGCATCGTAAAAAATATTTAAAAGTAATCGTAACACTTTTTACCAACTTGGAAATGACGCGCTCGTGTTAGCCAGATTCGTAAATCAACTAAAATTTTAATAATCTATAGTTTCAAAAATGTATAGTTTAAAAACAATCATTTATCAAATATTCTAGTTTTTTGATAACGAGGGTAGTAAAAACCAGTCTTCGGAAATAGAAATTAATTCGAAAATCTTGGCAACATGGTTATTTCTTACAAGACTAGTTTTCTTATCATCTGACAAAAACTTGCATATTAATTACTGTTGATGTTTAAAATAGGTAAATAAACCTAATTTATATAGGTCATCCTCAACATATCAGTGAAGTACGTTTGTTTTAGAATTAATTTTCAAAAATTAATAACTCCCTTAATAAGGGGTATTTTTAAAAAATAATATTTTTCTACATTCAGTGGGGATCTGCGCAATACCCAGTTTTAATATGTACGTGTATTTCAATAACACCCTGTATATACATATATATTTATTCCTATGAACAAGCCTATTAAAAGCGCGTTATATTGCAATCGTTCATCGTTCATATTACCTTGCTGAGCGCTCACCAGGCAGAATCGGTCTGGCCCAAATGAGTTTAAAACTCATATTTTATCAAAGTAGGAATTGGATTTAAAAAAAATAATAAACAGAAGCTTGCGTCAGGTATTTTGAAAAAGTATATATATTTGTTTGAGTCGTAAAGTCTAGTTTCCATATTTTCCAGACATTTTTTTCAGAAATCTAACCAATATTGAACATAGATGTAAACAATTTTACACTCCTGTGTATGTAACTAACTTTAGACCACGACCACTGTATAGTGTGGCACTATTTGGACACTTTATTCTTTTAAAATTTATTTTGCGTTTTTCAAGTAGATATTATGCAAGAATTTAGAGATTTTACTAAAAGAATTTTCTTCCCTTTGGATAATTATGGATTATTTTGTTTTAAACACAACAGTATTTTATGAAAAACGTCTTTTAAATCACTTAAAAAATATAGATACAGCATTCATTTACAAATTAAGGCTAGGTATTTATTCCTATTAAAACTTTTGGAACAACCTGTATAAGTTTATTGATTTTAATTGCAAAATTCCTCCACATTACGTTGTCACGATATTTCGAATTCAACCAATGCTCTACTTTCCTATCTCACGACCTGCAAGTGGATGCACTACAATATAGAACGACTCCGGCATTAGACAGAAAAGAAAACTCCAGAACTCTCAAACAAAATCGAGTTTCCAACTGGGGCGACCGACGTCTTCGTTCCCCAACAGTATACAATATGTGGTCAAGTGCAGATTGTCTTGTGACAGCGCCATAAGGCGGACACCGGGGCTCGCCTGATTTTCAAAGCCAAAAAAGTCCCGGATAGTTTGCGAGTTTGTCGCAAATACGCCGAAGGACTTTCGAGAGACCTCAGCCGAGGAAGTTTTGCAGCCCTTGCGAGATCTGAAGACGCGCCCTCGGGGAGGACGCGCCGCGACGGCCAAAGGGCGTCGGGGACAATTCGAAAGAGAGAAATTGATGGATAAGAGTGCTGAATGGTTTCAATGATGCCTTCTTGAAGTGAATGTTGTCATTGTTATATAATACAATTTATTTTACTACTACTCGTAATTATTTTGTTTAGGTTCTTTTTTGTGAGTTTGACAGATTTACCTATTAATATTAATTATTATTTTTTGTTACGTGTTGTTCTATTTTTATCATTTGAAGTAGCATTCTCATGAATGATCACGAAACTATAGATAATGAATCCATTATACAGGGTTGGACAAAATTGGCGGAATACCAGATTTGTGGCTCAATTACAGGTAAGAAATATAATAAAACCTAAACTATAAATCATATATACACCAGTGGAAAAAATTAAGGGATCTCAATTTTTTGCGATTTTTCGAGTGGCTGTATCTTTGGTAAAAATGGTCGTACCTGAATGAAAAGAAAGCAATTTGAAGCTTGAAGTGTCTAATTTATGGATCTTGTGATACAAAAATTTTCCAACCAACAATTAACACAAAATCCTGCCTGCAGCAAAGTTTACTGTTCTGGTCTAATCTATTATTATTACTATAAAATATTTACCTTTATGTCGATTATCTGTATTTTATTGCAGTTATATCTGCCTTGGTAAAAATATAAATTATAAATTACAGAAAAACTCTACACGATAGAATTTCAAAAATACCCCAATTTCATGTTCACCATAGTTCTTTGTAAAAATACATTTTAGGAATGAAACTGTACGCTATCCAATCAAACGGCGCACACGCTACACTTCATAAATT